TTAGCACATTTATTCTTTAACAAGAAAAGAAACTTTTAAAAGGAAGTTTTCTATTTCCCACAACGTGAGAAGGCACCGGTCCTTCCTGCAGCTCTTGGGGGCCCCTCATTCATTCTTTGGAATTAAGAAAACTTTCAAGCCTAGTGGGAAACAGAGAGAGCAGCACACTGAGGCTCCACATACCTGCCACGCGGAAGACCGTCGTCGGCCGCGGACACCGCAGCTTGTCCACCCACTGCTCTATCTGTTGTTGCTGATCCACTTCAAAGTACATTGGTAAAACCGTAACACTCAGCCGAGCACGGTGGCTCACACCTATATCCCAGCACTTTGGGAGGCCGAGGTGGGCAGATCATGAGGTTAGAAGATCAAGACCAGCCTGGCCAACATGGTGAAACCCCATCTCTACTAAAAATACAAAAGCTAGCTGGGTATGGTGGCGTGTGCCTGTAATCCCAGCTACTCTCAAGGCTGAGGCATGAGAATTGCTTCAACCCAGGAGGCAGAAGTTGCAGTGAGCCAAGATCACACCACTGCACTCCAGCCACAGAGTGAGACTCCATCTAAAAAAAAAAAAAAAATTGTAGTATTCAACACTCCACCCTTAGACACGTCAGCGTGCATCTCCAGTAAACCAGGGACCCACTCATTATTGTCCCTCCCGAGTAATTAGCTTGCACCCAACCTGCCACATGGCAAATGGCTCCTGGCTCAGCTGTGAGCGTGAGGCCCTGCGGCCGACCCCATCCAGGCCAGACTCCAGGGCGGTGGCTACGGCAGCACAAGCATCTCCCGGAGGCTGGTGGGGACGTTGCATCTCCTAAGAACTCATGGGCTAAGGCAGGTCCTACGGCCAGGGCCTGCGACGGGGGAGCAGGGAGAGGAGGAACGAGTGGGGCAGGGGAAGGGCAGAGACCAAGCTCTGTGTCCGCCCAGCAAGATCGGCAGGCGCCCTCACGGTCACCCGTGATCCAGGCCACACTGCCCCCAAGCCACCTTTTTTTTTTTTTAATTTATTAATTTATTTATTTTAAAGACAGGGTTTCACCTTGTTGGTCAGGCTGGTCTTGAACTCCTGACCTCAGGTGATCCGCCCGCCTTGGCCTCCAAAGTGCTTGGATTGCAGGCGTGAGCCACCGCGCCCGGCCTCCGAGCCACCTTTGATGAGCACCCGAGTAACCCTCCATCTTCCTTCTTCACTGCTGTTGCTGTGGGGAGGGGCGGGGATGACAGTCACTGTGGCGGCTTTTTTCTCTCTGTTTCTTCGTGGACTTGCTGATGCTTACGTGTTTGGTGTGTTCCAGTCACTTCAGTGTCCCTTCCTCTTGGCACTCAAGTGGCCTCGCCATGGCCCTGGCAGCTGCAGCCCCGCTTGGGCTCCTGCAGGGACTGCCGCCGTCCTAGGGCGCCCCAGCAACCCCTTGTCCCGTGGCCTCTGCCTTCTCCTCCGAGCAGTGACGGTCGGTCGGGGCGGCACTCCGCTGTGCAGGCTGGTGGTGAACCAAGACTCAGGCCCAGGACGTGGAGCCCCAGGGCCGGAGGCACCAAGGAGTCCTGTCCCGCGGACGGCTGGGCCTCGGTTCCTTCCTGCTCAGCCTGGGAGCGCAGCAGGAGTCTGGTGCTGGCCGGTTCCGCTCCGGATCCACATCAGGGAGCACGTGTGTGGTGTGGCCCCGGGTGTCCGGCCAAGCAGCCCGGCCTCTCCCGACCCTTCGGCTCCCCTGTGCAAGGCCTTGCTTCTCCAGGGGAGCGTCCTGGTCAGGGGCTGTAAAAACCCACTGGGCAAGGCGGCTCACACCTGGAATCCCAGCACTTTGGGAGGCGGGGGTGTGTGGACCAAAAGGTCACAAAATTTAGACCATCCTGGCCAACATGGTGAAACCCCAACTGTACTAAAAATAGAAAAAAAAAAATTAGCCGGGCATAGTGGCGGACACCTGTAGTCCCAGCTACTCAGGGGGCTGAGGCAGGAGAATCACTTGAACCCAAGAGGTGGAGGTTGCAGTGAGCTGAGATCACACCATTGCACTCCAGCCTGGGCAACAGAGTGAGACTCTGTCTCAAACAAACAAACAAACAAGCCGGGCGTGGTGGCTCACGCCTGTAATCCAAGCACTTTGGAGGCCAAGGTGGGAGGATCACCTGAGGTCGGGAGTTCAAGACCAGCCTGACGAACACGGTGAAACCCCGTCTTTATTTTTTATTTATTTATTTATTTTTTTTTTTTTTGAGATGGAGTTTCACTCATGTTACCCAGGCTGGAGTGCAATGGCGTGATCTCGGCTCACCGCAACCTCCGCCTCCTGNTTACCCAGGCTGGAGTGCAATGGCGTGATCTCGGCTCACCGCAACCTCCGCCTCCTGGGTTCAGGCAATTCTCCTGCCTCAGCCTCCCGAGTAGCTGGGATTACAGGCACGCACCACCATACCCAGCTAATTTTTTGTATTTTTGGTAGAGACGGGGTTTCACCATGTTGACCAGGATGGTCTCGTTCTCTTGACCTCGTGATCCACCCGCCTCGGCCTCCCAAAGTGCTGGGATTACAGGCTTGAGCCACTGCGCCCGGCCATACCCCGTCTTTAATTAAAAAAACAAACAAACAAAACAGTAAAACCCCCGTCTGAGCAAGGGGCGAACAGGACCCCGGCGGTGCATGAGGGAGGGAGGCGGCCTCCTTTGTCTGGATCCCGGCCACTCTCTGCCAACCACATCCATTTGCATCGGCGGCCCCCAGTCCTGCTTCTGGAGCAGGAGCACAGAGTGGGGAGTCCCCGGACCCCCAAACTCAGAGCCCAGAAAAGCCTTTCGAGGGGGGCCCTTGGGCAGAGCCGAGGTTCAGCCCCAGCCTGCGTCCTTAGCCAGTGACCCACACTTCTGTGGCTCGTGGCCCACGGCAGGCGTGGTGAGGCACCGCCATGGAGGGCGTGCTCCCGTTCTGGAAGGACGTGCCCTGGGTACGTGCATCCCGAGCATGGCTGATCTCTCCCAGGAGTGACACCATTGCTCAGGACCTCCAAAGCCCCGTGCCCAATCTCCTTGTCCGGGCCCTGCGTCCTCCCAGTGAACCCGGTCACTCTCGGAAGCGGGTTCCCGCTTGATGTTCTTAAAACCAGACCCGCGTGTGCACCTGGTCACAAGCGACACATCTGACTTCTGGACTGAACTGCACACCGGGCTGTGCATGCCTGGCACACACAAATGCTGGCCACAGCCCTGCCTGGAGCCATGCGCAGGCCTCACGCTCCCTGTGGCCTGGCATGTGGCCCTGGGTTCACTCTGTGTCCTCTGGCAGCTGTCCCTTGACAAGGAGCTCATCGACTTCGGCAGCTACGTGGTGGGAGAGACCACGTCTCGGACCATCACGCTGACCAACGTCGGGGGCTTGGGCACGAGTTTCAAGATCCTGCCAGCTTCAGAGCCCTGCGAGGTGGACGGCTCCCAGTCCATCCTGAAATTAGTGAGTGTGCGCTCGGCCAAGGGGAGTGTGGGGCCCCACCCCCCAAATGTAGTCCCATGTGGGTGAACAGGGGTGATGATATGAGGGTGTCTGCAGTGGGCCTGGGAGGACATGAGGAGTGCCGGGTCTCCTCAAACCGGCCTAAGCAGGAGAGGCAAGCTTCCGTAGGACACCTGCGGTCACCTGGCCTCAGGAGCGGTGGCAGCAGGACACCCCCTTTCTCAGGCATGCAGTGGCAGGGGCGCTGGCCAGCAGCTCCAGGCCTGAGGGCCCCAGGAGACCCAGCCTCCCCCGATAGGCCTCTGAAGCCCCAGGTGTGGGGGTGGGAGGGCTGGACAGGTGCACTCCATGGCTGTAGCTGCACCTGTTCCAAATGTGAGTGTGTCTTGTCCTGTCACAGGCAGGGGTGGCCCAGGGCTCAGGCAGAGGGAAGGCTCAGCCTCCAGCCAGCCAGGGAGAAAGGCGGGTCGGACCAAGAGGAAGACATGGCTCCACACTCCCAGACTGGGGCAGCGCAACCCTGCCCACCCGGCCTAGAGGGAGGGAGGGAGGCCGAGGGGTGACCCTGAGCCTCTGGGCGAGCTGCTACCGTGACCCACAACCAGGAAGGGTGAGACAGGGTGGGGTCAGCAAGGAGGCAGCTGAGGGGCCACGCTGGAGCCAGGCCCCAGGCCCCCATGCCTGTCCCGGGAGTCCTGGCCGCTGAACAGGAAAAGGAGGTGGGAAACATCGAAGCTGGACGCTACGTTTCCCTCCCTAGAGCAGCCTTCTGATCTACGAGGAGAAAAGTGTGTACGACAAAGCCGCCACCAGCATCTCTGAGCAGCCGCTGGAGGGCAACGAGTTCTCCCAGGTGGACCTGCAGAGCCGGAGGGCGGCGGAGAAGCTGGACCAGTTGCAGGGGGAGGCAGAGCCCGAAGGTGAGCCGGCAGTGAGGGCCCCAGGCCAGCACTCCAGGGCCCTGAGAGGCCAGGGGAGGGCTGGAAAGTAGAGAACCTTCCCAGGCCTTCGATGGTAAGTGATGGTCAAGCAAGAAAACGCTCATATGTGCCACTAAGTGTTGTTTTGGAGCGGATCGAAATGTGCACTCACGTTGACGCTAACAAGGCTCGAAGGCAACCTCCAGCACTGGCCCAGCAGGTGGCCCGCGGGTGGGAAGAGGCTCCTCGGTGCTCTCTGGACGGGCTGCACTTCGGGGGCTTCTGTCTACCTCTGCAGCTGTGTTAGATTCGCACCAGCAGGAAGGGGCGCCGAGATACAGGAGGGCCCTGCCGCCCCTGCGCCGCCCACCCTCCACCCCTCCGCCGCCGGGAAGCGCTCGCGTCTCCTCCTCACCTCTCTGGAAAGTTTTCCAACGAGTGGAGATCTGGGAACCGCCGGCTCCTCCTGTGTCTGTGGCCTGCGTTTTCCTCGCCCTGGAGCTGGCCGGTTCACCGCGGCGTATGCCAGCCGCCCTTCCTGTCCTCACCCCGTGCGTGCGGCGTTTCCTGTCCTGAGCGAGCCTCAGGTTCAAGATCCTCCTCCCTCCAGCGCACGCTTGGGAGCATTTGTGGTGCACGCTGCTGCGTACACGGCCACACTGCACCCCGCTCCAGCCCGTGTGTGAGTTCCCACGGGGCACGTGCTGGGGTTTCCCACCTGCATCACAAGGCGTAGCCAGCCTCGCTGGCACTAGCTAATATCAAAGTGAGTTCTTTTTCAATCTATTTTATTGAGACAGGGTCTCGCTGTGCCGCCCAGGCTGGAGTGCAGTGGTGCAGTCACAGCTCACTGCAGCCTCGACCTCACGGGCTCAAGCAATCCTCCTGCCTCAGCTCCTAGTGCCTGAGACGACAGGCACACGCCACCACACCTAGCTAGTTTTTATATTTTTTGTAGAGACAGGGTTTCTCCATGTCTCCCAGGCTGGTCTTGAACTCCTGAACTCACCCTGTCTGCCCACCTCAGCCTCCTAAAGTGCTAGATTACAGGCGTGAGCCACCTCACCCAGCCCACCAAGTTCTTTGTTGACCAGGCTGGTCTCAAACTCCTGACCTCAGGCGATACCCCCGTCTCGGCCTCCCAAAGTGCTAGGATTACAGGCATGAGCCACCGCACCTGGCCATCAAGCAGAGTCTCTGAACTGTGGGAACTAGCCATTGGAAGACTTCATTAAAATGTGGAGTCTCCCAGAACTAACTATGGATCAATGCAATTCCAACCAAAATTCCAGGAAGATTTTTTAACAGAAATTGACAAGCTTATTGTAACATTTATATGGAAATCCAAAGGACCTAAAGCGACCAAAACAACTTTGAAAAAAAAAAAAATTTCCACGCCTGTAATCCCAGCACTTTGGGAGGCTGAGGTGGGTGGATCACGAGGTCAAGAGATCAAGACCATCCTGGCCAACAGAGTGAAACTCCACCTCTACGAAAAATACAAAACTTAGCTGCTCAGGAGACAGAGGCAGGAGAATCGCTTGAGCCAGGAGGTCGGAGGCTGCAGTGAGCTGAGATCGCGCCACTGCACTCCAGCCTGGCGACCGAGCGAGACCCTGGCTCAAAAGAAAAACACGTCAAGGACTTGCACTACCTGATTTTGAGGTCACTATAAAGTACAGTGACAACCAATGTGGTGCTAGACAGAGAGACCCAATGGAACAAGAGAGTCCACAAATAGACACACAATGTTAGCCACCTGGTTTTGGACAGAGGGGGCAAAGGTAATTGCTTGGAGAAAGAACGGTCTTTTCAACGAGTAAGGCCATGGCAGTTGGAGAAGCATAAGTCCCCGGACGCAGCCTGGCTCTGTGTCGCCACCCAGATTCCATCTCAAACTAACCCCACGCGTGGAGAGAGGGCTCTGTAATGCTCAGGTGTCAAGGGAGGAAAGTGGTTGAATTGTGGGAGCGGCTTCCCCCATGCTGGTCTCGTGCTAGTGAGTCGATTCTCATGAGATCTGATGATTTTATAAAGCGAAAAGCCTGACGCTAGCAAGCGCTGGTGAGGAGCAGCTGGAACCCTGATGCCGCCCCCGGGAACGCAGGATGGGAAACGTTCAGCAGCAGAGCCGGACGCCCAGCAAGCCCGCTCCTCGGTATCCAGCAAGAGAAGCAAAAACAGATTCACGTGAAAACCTGCATATGAATGTTTGTAGCGGGCTTATTTGCAATCGGCGAAAACCAAAGACCCTAATATCCCACACCTGGGGAGTGGACAGAGACACTGTGGGGTCCCTGCCACGCAGCGCCTCTGAGCAGCAAACAGGCGTGGACCTTTGAGAGGGGCAGTGGCGTGGGCCGGTCTCCAGCGCATCCTGCAAAAGGAAGGAACTCTGACACAAAGACTGCAAGCTCTGTGACTCCATCTTTGTGACATTCTGGAAAATAAATATTTTGCCTAAAAAAGGCAAAACTAAGGCCGGGCGTGGTGGCTCACGCCTGTAATCCAAGCACTTTGGAGGCCAAAGCGGGCAGATCACCTGAGGTCGGGAGTTCAGGACCAGCCTGACCAACATGGTGAAACTGAGTCTTTTTTTTTT